TCGCCCTCGCCCTCGCCCTCGCCCTCGCCCCTCTGCCTTTGAGCCTCGCTGGCCCTGAATTCCCAACCCGACGCGGAACCCTCCCAGAATCAGGGCTTCGGCAGTCTAACATCCTGGGAAATTCGCCGAAAGACCAACACCATCCAAACCCTCGCACTGCTTCTCCCACCGAACCGACCTTCCGCACGCACAGGCTTCGACCTTTCTTCTCACACGCCACCACCTCGCAACGACAACAACAGCTCCTCGCAGTGCGCCATGTCCTCTCACTGAGGCTACAAAAGCTGGATAGACGAGGCTCGGACGCATCCTTCGGGCGAGAGTCCCCACTGCACGACCATGGCGCTCACCACAGGCACCGGTATGGCAGGCCTCGCCGCCTCGGAGGAACCCGCTACCGTCGTCCGCATCCTATCTTGGGTCGCGCTAGCTTGGTACATCATCACCTGGAGTATCTGCCTGCTTGGTCTCAGTCTAGCGCGTCAGTTTGCACGGCCTGAATCACCCAGATCTCCGCTCTCTCCACCCAGGACCTCGACCCTGCTCACCAACGAATCCGAGAATTCACGCAGCTTCGACTCCCTCCAGCGCCGACAACAGCAAAACGACGAGGATCATGCCGAATCCGTACCCGGTGTATCCATCCTGCGTCCGCTCAGCGGGCTCGACTGCAACCTCTACTCCAACCTCGCCTCATCCTTCGTGCAGGACTACCCCTTTTCCCGCTTCGAGATCATCCTCTCCATCCGAGACGCGTCCACACCCGAAGCTGCAAAGGTGCTCAACGTCGCACGCATGGTCATGGCCGCGCATCCGCGCGTCGACGCCCGCATCATCGTCGGAGACCATCTCGCCGGTGTGAATCCAAAGATCAACAACCTCGTCCGCTCCTACGCCGCCTCCAAGTACGACATCATCTGGGTCGTAGACAGCCAGGTATGGACGCCCACCGGTGCTCTCGCACGTGCTGTAGATCAGCTCCTGCTCGAGCCTGCCGAACGACCGCGCCCATCGCCCAGCTGGCTGCCTCGCAAGCCTCACGGCCAGCGCGTCGGCCTCGTCCACCACGTCCCCTTTGCCGTTCTCCCGAGCACCTCGTGGGGCTCCAAGATCGAGAGGGTTTTTCTGTCTACCACCCACGCAAAGATGTACCTCGCTCTCAACGCTCTCACCATCGACTCGTGCGTCATGGGCAAAAGCAACATGTACCGCAAATCCGACCTGGCTTGCGTTCCCGACTCCTTCTTCAACGTCTCCCAGCATGGCAGCCAGGGCGAATCCAATGCGATCGGAAGCTTTGCCTTTTCCCACCAGTCCGATTCAGCCACTGCAGATGCACCGGCACCCGCATCCACGGCGCCGCAAGAGATGCCAAACGAACAGCTCAAGACTCTCTCGCGCCCACTCGCGCGATTCTCCATCTACCTGGCCGAAGACAACATGCTTGCGCAGTCGTTGTGGAACGCACCGCTCGACCTCTCGCACACGCTGTCCGCCTCCGACTTGGCCTACACATCGGTCGGCGACATCCGCACGCTCGCCGACTACACGCGCCGCCGCATGCGCTGGATTCGCGTGCGCAAGTATATGGTCCTGGCACCTACCTTGCTCGAGCCCCTCACCGAATCCCTCCTCTCGGGCATCATCGGCTGGTTCGCACTTTCCTCGCTCGTTCTACCCATGCTGACCGGCTCTTCGGTATCGCCTTCCGGATGGTCGTGCCTGCTCTTCTTTTGCCTTCATTTCGGCGCCTGGTTCGCCGTCGACTTTGCCGTCTTCAAGCGGCTCTCGGTGGCCCACGAATTCTTGGCGTGCAATCCGGGCGTGGACAGCGCCGACGCGATGAGCGTGCTCGAATTCGGCGCCGCCTGGGTGCTGCGCGAATCGCTCGCGCTTCCCATCTGGGCGTGGGCCATCCTGGGAAGCACGGTCTCTTGGCGCAACAAAACCTACCGCATCTTGAAGGGCGGTCGTGCCGCCTTGGTCACCTCGTCAGCCTCAGACGGCAAGCCCACTGGCCGACGCACCGGCGCTGGCGCACGTCGTCGCGAAGACCTCGATCCGCTCTTGCATTCCACCGACTGATGGACCATCATTACGCACAAAACGAAATCATTCACGACACGGGTTTATGATTACGATGTTCGTACACAAGGACTGAGCATTGGTTTGTGAAAACGGGATGACCCTTGTACGGGTGCAATCAGGCTGTGGCCGAGGAGAGCATCTTTTGGAGCGTGTCGCACTGCTCGAGAACGGCGCGCTTGGAGGTGCCGCCCTTTGCATCGCGGCGCTCGACACTCTGCTCAAACGACCACACCTGCATCACGTCGTCGCCAAACTTGTCCGAGAGCGATTTGAGGTCGTCGAGAGTGAGCTCCGAGAGCAAGCAGCCCTTCTGCTCCGACAGTCGCACGGCGCTTCCCGAGATGTGGTGCGTCTCTCGGAAGGGGATGCCCTTCCTCACCAGATATTCGGCCAGATCGGTGGCGAGCATGTCTGGAGTGAGTGCCGCCTTCATTTTGTCGGGGAAGATGTTGAGGGTGGAGATGACGCCGGTGGCGATCTGCAGGCCGTCCTTGGTGGTGTCGACGGCGTCAAAGAGCGGCTCCTTGTCCTCCTGCAGATCCTTGTTGTAGGTGGAGGGGATGCCCTTGAGCGACATCATGAAGCCGGACATCTGGCCAAAGATGCGGCCGGCCTTGCCGCGGAGCAGCTCGAGGCTGTCCGGGTTCTTCTTCTGGGGCATGATGGAGGAGCCGGTGCTGTAGGCGTCGCTTAGCTGCATGAAGCCGAATTCGGACGTCGAGTAGATGATAAAGTCTTCGGCCATCTTGCTGAGGTGCACGGCGGTCAAGCTGGCCCACATGAGATATTCGACGACAAAGTCTCGGTCCGAGACGCTGTTCATCGAGTTGGGACCCACGGTCTGGAAGCCGAGGTCGGCGGCGATGGCGTCGCGGTCGAGGCCTGCGAACGGGTTGCCGGCGAGAGGGCCGGAGCCGAGCGGGAGGACCGAGATGCGGGGCTGGAGGTCGCGCAGGCGGGCGAGATCCGAGGCAAAGTAGGTTGCGTGGGAGAGGAGGAGGTGGGACCAGCGGATGGGCTGTGCGCGTTGGAGGTGGGTGTATCCGGGCATGAGCGCGTCGACCTCCTCGCGGGCGCGGGCGATCATGACTTGTATGAGGTCGGAGAGGTAGCCCTCGATGGCCTTGACTTCGTCGATGAGCCAGAGACGCATGTCGGTGGCGACCTGGTCATTCCTGGACCTGCCTGTGTGGAGCTTGCCGCCGACGCTGCCGATGAGCTCGGTGAGGCGACGCTCGTTGGCGGTGTGGATGTCCTCGTCGTCCGGGTGGATGGCGAAGGTGCCGTTCTTCCATTCTTGGCCGACCTTTTCGAGGCCTGCTACGATCTCGTCCCTCTCCTGCTCGTTGAGCACGCCGGTCTTGACGAGAGCACGGGCATAGGCCTGGGATCCGCGGATGTCCTGCGCATGCATGCGCTTGTCGTAGGAGAGCGACTCGTTGTAGGCGAACAGGAGCGGGTCGTTCTTGCCGGTGAAGCGGCCGCCCCAAAGCTTGCGCTTGGTAAAGTCGTCGGAAGTGGAAGCCATGGCGATGGATTTGCGGAGTGCCTACAAGAAGGGATGCGGCAGTCGGTTCGAGAAGCAATCAGGTGGTAGAAGGCAAGCGAGAGTATCTTGAAGCTCTCGCGAGGCGAGCTGGAGCCCACTGACAAGCGGGATGGCCCAAGCGGCCGAGTGCGAAATTGGCCGTGCAGCTGCTTCTTCCATTTTTTCGCTCAAAAGATAGGCGGATGACTCGGCGAGGCTTTTGTTGAGCGACGCTCGTCCCAATCAAGAGCTTCGGTCTAACAACATTGAAATTTCGCCAGCGTTTGACTCTCCGCGACTGTCGGCTAGGCTGGGAAAATTTCAGGGTCTCGCCGAAGGCCCCCCTTTGCATTTGCATTCCGGCTCGAGACTGTGGCAGGCAGCCCACTCGATCCGTGTGCCGCGAAGCGCCGCGAAGCACCGCTTGCGAGGCTCTCGAGGCTGCAAGCCTTCAAGAGCCCTGGCATGCGGGCGCACACGCATAAGCTCGGTACTTTGAGCCTGCTGCACACATCGGAATGCGCCTCAAATTGCAGCAGTGACAGCCGCGGGGCGTTGCGGAGCGTTCTGGCGATGTGTCGTGAGGACACGGATGTGCTCTGCCATGTGCAAGGCAATGTTGGTCTCGGACGATGCAAGAGGCGAGCAATGTGAGCGAGGCGAGCGAGGCGAGCGCGGCGGGAATTTTCCTGCAGGTTTCAGGGCGTGGCTGAATATGTCGGACACGCGTTGGCTGCAGCAGCGTCTGGCGAGTGTGCGGGCCAAACATCCGAAACAGAAAAGAAAAATAAAGACGGAGGCTTCCGCTGGTCGGTGCTCATTCGGGGTTTCATGCGAACCCTGTGGCCCTGTGGCCCTGTGGCCCTGT